TTTCAATTCCTAAGAATAATGCGTCCTGCTGTGGCTGGTTTGTTTACACTACATGTTTTATACGAAAGACCCTGTTTGTAAGAAAAAGAATTACATATGTATATTTATATATTATTTATTCTATAGTTTTATTATTTTTGACTATCTTGGCAATACATTTTTTTAAATCTATCCTTCATAAACTTTATACTAATGCTCCTCGTAATAAACAGACATCACGAATTGAGGATTAAATTTTCGAAATAATGAACCATTGCCCTGAGGGTCGGGATCTGCCTTTATGTATAAGAAAACAAAATATTCCATTAAATATATTTAAGATTTTTATTTCAATTTCTAAAAACAATATGCATTATGTATAAGGAAGATATTATTCGCACTCCATAAAGTGTCCGAATAGCAGCTTCTGTTTGGCCAGCGCAGAGGCCAAGCAGCGGCGACGAGTCCAGCGCGACGAGCCTGCCTTGGAGTTTCCCTCTTTAACACGCGCCATACAATCTGAGAGATGGGCCGAGGGGACAAAGACAGTGACGCAGGCACTCGAGAGTCGAAGCGCCGTCGGAAAACCGCAGCAGAAGGTGCCATCTCCCTGGCACTGACGGCAGAGATGCCGAAGAAGACGGTGGCCTCGTCGGGCAGCGAGGGCGACGTCCCCGAGGCGCAAGCCGCCCTCAGGACGACCAAGGAGAAGGACAGCTTGAAGACCATCGCCGATACCTATCAGGTGGGAAAGATGTGCCGGAGGGTAGGCTAAGGGAGTTCGGTATCCTTGTTTTAACACTGGGGACTTCAGACAGACTGAAAATGTGACACTCTCCCTTTTCCCCACAAAGCTCTCCAACCTTAGGGTTATTTCTGTTTCAGTTGTTCGCTGTGTAATGTGTGTGAATCTATTGTTGTTTTCCATGGTAAAGGACTGGTTCAGGAAACAAATGAAAAGGTATAATATTAGTGGATGAAAGGGTTGCTTTGATGGATAGATATTCAGAATACCTTTGCATTACCCATCTCGATTATTATGGACTCCCTTCACTTTCTATTATCCAAATACATTTAAATTATGCCATGGAAAAAAATCTGGACCTGGATACCATTGGGGGGCCTGGAAGGCACCAGGGAAATGAAGGGGTAAAGTATGTATAGAATATAGTAGATATAACAGAAACTATAGTAATAATGTACAATGAATAAGTCACTGCATTATGTAAGAAGCCCCCTATGTAGGGCTGCCACCCCCATGTATGTACGGCAGGATTGAGCATGAGGCTGTATCTTGTTAAGCTTGCTTCACCTATTTATCATATGCTGTATGGTGCCATGAATACAAAGAGAATTCCGTGTTGGCCAGGGCGGAGATTAGGAGGTGACAGCCCCTAGGGGTGGTCACATAGCCTTCTGCATTTGTTATAATCTATTTTTCATTCTTATATAGTATTCTTATTTTACCCCACAATATCCCTGGTACCTCTCATGCCTTCCCCTGCTATTAGGGCCATGGATATGGTATTCTAAACAATTACTCTTTGATGAAAACTGAGGGATTATTGGAAATGTCATGTAACTCTGAAACAGAAGACTTTGACTTTGCCATCCAATAGAACGCAATATTCTAAGACACTTTTCTGTTATAGCAAACTAATAATGAGGATGCAGTGCAGAAAATATGACAAGAAATTGAGGAAACTACAAAAAGATTGGACAGAATTGTAGTGGATGATTTATACAGGGGAAATCAAATGAGCCAATTGGAATTGTACTTAGTCATGATGTGATGTTGGACATAAACAACTTGTATGTTAGAGCCAATAGTAAATCATCTGACAATAGGAGCTGGACCCAGGGAAAGTCAGTTGAAATTCAAGTCAGTGTATAAGATACCGAGGAAACTGTTTTGTCTTTAATATACAAATTAACATGGCAATAACAAAAATGAGTGGCATCAAGTAGTCATTATTACCACCAATAGCAGAGTGTTTCATTAGCCAATTTTAACCCTACAATGATGGTACCAGAAATCTCATCACAGTTTCCAATGACTTCCTGCCATTGGGCTGGGGAATTCGCTATCTGTAGCTGAACTTCCAGCTTGACTTGCTTTAGTGCATCATGACGCCTATAGCCATACCCGTCTTGATGAGTTGGTTTTTCATGACAGCCATAGGCATGCCACAAGTGCACAAAGGGTGATAGGATTCCTTGCTATATAGGATTATATAGCAAGGGGCTCTTGCATTACATCCATTGGTTAACAACTATGGAATATACCTTTAGTGAGCCATGAGAGCACCAGTGCCAAGGAAGACACCATTTACATGTTCAGAATCTTCTTCCTGCCCACCGTGACCAGTGGAACAGAATGTATTACAGAAAACTGAATATAAGGAAAACAATAAAAGCTGCTTCAAATGACAAAATGTTTCAGACTTCCTAGAGAGATCCACTCAATTACTGTGGGACATAGCCTATGCAGACTGTTTCACATATCAGTGAGTGTAGTTTTTTTCTCATTGTGACTGTCAGATTTTACCTATCGTTTATTGCAGTCATCACATCTATATATACCAAAGTATCACTTACTTGTTTGAATAACTTTATTATCAACTTAACCCCATGCCTAAAGGAATGACAAGTACGTGTATGCCATGCCCACTGTGAGTTTACTTGTTTGATTGTTTTTACACATAGATGGCTACACTTGTACTAAGTCACCAATGAGCCAATTACAAGTACTGCCTGTCTTGCCCATTCACCCTTTTCTCTAATTTACGAAAATATTTTACATTATCTTATTTTGCTGTTACTAATGTTTATAACATTATAGTAATTCTAATATTTATAATATTATTGATATTCATAGCACTAATAAAAAGTACATTTTTCCTGCCAATTCAAATCAGGTAAGGTCACAAGGTCTACTAATTGACTCCTTTGTAGGTAAGCACTAGCAGAGCCATCTATGTGCAGAGACATTTCACAAAAAAAAAATATATATATATATGAGGACAGCATTTTCCCCATTTTTTATTTATTTTCCCTGGCGGCATTGGGTTAAGAAGGAAATGCTATAGATGAAAATATTAAGTTTTATCATTCTCTCCAGTGCAGACAGTTTTCCATGTATCATAAAGGTGTGTGAAAGTGAAATTGTACTAGTATTTTTTCAAAAACTCCCTGTATGCTGATGTGTATCACTCATAAGTCTACTAAGTCATTGTAAGTCAGTGTTGCTGATACTGATGAAACTGATGATGTCCAACTATTTTTAGTAGATTTGTTCAATATCCAATTTTGTTCTGGATAAAATTTTCCATATGAAATTTTCCTGTTTTTCCTGTCATGTCGTACCCATCCCACTCCCGTTTTTTTAAATAAAGTTTTGGGTAAATATTCAACATATCTACACACAGCCAATTAAAACAATACCAATCTCAATTGATTCCTCTCACTCTGCTACTCATATGCAAGAATATGCCAGAGAAAACCTCCATTTAGGAAGGGGCTATTGCATTATTTCCATCAATAAACAAGTATGGAATATATCATTAGTACATGCTTTTCCATGCTTAGGATCCTGTTCCTGCCTGCCGTAACAGGTGGCGCAGTATGTATCACAGATGATTAAAAAAAAAATAGATAAATAAAATAAATTAATAATAATAATAATAATAATAATTAGATGACATTATTGAACTGTGCAAGGAAAACCATATGGGCAAAAAAAAAAAAAAAAGGATTTTTTTTAATGCATAGACAGAGAGAAGATAACATTGCAAAGGTCTTGATAGAGCACATGAGTGTTTGTGTGCACCCTGCCTACAAGCTGCACACCCAGTAGAGTGGCCACTCAAGTAAGCATAGTGCCCCTATTAGGACCACATGATGGAAGTGAAACATCCAGATCAAATGGGTTAAGAATCAGGAAAAGCAAATACTATTATTTTATTAACACATGCTGCCGGGGAAAATGAATAAAAAATGGGGAAAATGCAGTGCTCTTTTTTTTTTTTTTTTTTTTTTGTGAAATGTCTCTACACATAGATGGCTCTGCCTTACCTGATTTCATCTTTCCTTTAATTGGTGGGAAAATTTATTTTTTTACTAGTACTATGAATATCAATGGTGTTATTTTTATTATAAACATTATAATTACTATAATGTTTACAAAAATTAAAGAAAAGGGTGAATGGGCGAGATAGGCAGTACTCGTAATTGGCTCATTGGTGACTTAGTACAAGTGCAGCCATCTATGGGTAAAAACAATCAAATAAGGAAACTCACAGTGGGCATGGCATGCCCGTCGGCAATGGGTTAATTACTACATTGCAAATAACTGGAAATAAAGTTGCCAATATAGACCAATTATATATTGTATTATTATTTGTTTTGGTTATGACACCTGAATAAGAATAGAAATTGATTTTTAACTGCTGTTTTCTGATGCTGGAAATTGCAACTTACATTTCTTTGTCTATTGTAGGAATATTTGGTTAATTTTTCAACTGTGACAATCGAGCCTTCCCAGACAAGATTTACATCAACAGATATCTTGTCATGATATCAAATCACATTAAAGAAGAATTAATGAATTAGATATATGAATTAGAAAAAATAGGAATTGATAATTACAATGTAATTGTTTTCATAAGCATAGTAATACATGAAGTACATGACAGGTCTCAGTAATGAGTTATGCTGTCATATTTGTTTTTAGCCTCCCAAGTTAAACTTGATGAGGACTTGGAAAAGATAGGTCGATCTTCTCTCTTCTGTCATGTATCTAATTTATTTTTTATTTGTACACCTTTTGCCACACACTCTCTCTCTGTCTCTCTCTCTCTGTCTCTCTCTCTCTGTCTCTCTCTCTCTCTCTCTCTCTCTCTCTCTCTCTCTCTCTCTCTCTCTCTCTCTCTCTCTCTCCCTCCCTCCCTCCCTCCCTCCCTCCCTCCCTCCCCTCTGTAATTATGATTATCATCCACTGAAATTTTTCTAAATATTTTTCATTTTTATTATAGTTGATGGTGTTATTGATGGAAACATGCACCAGTGCCATTGAGTAATAGTATGCCAAAATGTTCAAAGCTTTGTCAGTCTACAGCTTAGACATAGCCTTTTCTTTACACATTCAATAATTTTGCTACAATCTTGACATAATTTTGCTTGAAATGAATTACTGTACTACCATTCTCACAGTGTTATCACAAATTAAAGCTAAATACTTGTTTAGATTATAAGTATGGTATTTAGAACTTAGAGTAATTTTTGTGTTTTTTATCAGAAACAAGAGTTTGTCTTATATACCAGTAAACATTGTAATTTTTTCTGATATATATATATATATATAATTTTTTGTTTTGACTTTTCTATTTATTCACAGGCAAGCTTAGAGCATGAGTGCCAGGAAGCTCGGCAGAGGACTGAAGATGAGGACCAGGAAACTGTGGCTAGGATCATCCAACACATTCGCTTCCTCATGAAAGAGATCCTGAAACTAAAGACAGAAAAGCCTGATCAGGTGAGATTAAAGTGAATTCAATCAGCAATTGATTTGTTTAACAGTCAGGCTGACTTACTATGGAATAGGTGTAACTAGAGGTGAGGAATGTAATTTTTGAATTAGAAGCAAACTAATTTGTACAGCATACCATAGTATGGTTTCATACTTTGTTTATTATTATTGTTATTTATTTCAGTGGTCGGCTGAAGTGGAAGAACGCCGTGTGCAGGTCCTCATGCTGATCTTATCTTTACGGCGCTTGAGTAGGGTGCAGAAGGTATATTGACAGCTTTGTGTGTCTTTAGCCTTTAAAAAGCAAAATATGGCAATTTGATTAATTAACCTGTTGCCACTGGGTGGTATGTATGTACATGCCTTGGCATGCCTGGACTATAGTCTAGGTGGCATATGTGCGGTCCCATTTACCGGGGGCATGTATGACCATGCCATATACACTATGGTGATGACAAGATTCCCTGGCAATGGGGCCTGGTCCTCTATGAATGCAACCTGGGAGAGAGAGCTTTTGTATCGGGAAGTCACCTGGTGGCATTGGGTTAATTAAATCAAAATAGATTTTAAAATTCAGTTACATTCAGTTGATGCTATGATATTATTGCAAATAAACATACCATATACATTGTGATTTTTGCTTTATTGATTTTGTTTACACATGATGTCTTAGTCACTAAGTAGTTAATAAGTAGTCCTATCTACTTATATATGTATACATATTACACATCAGGTACGCGTTCGTGATGCTCGTGACAAGACAGCAGAAGCACGCCAGAGTGTGGATGGTGTAACCCTCCAGCTGCAGAACCTGCTCTATGAGGTGGCTCACCTGAAGAAAGAAGTGAGACGTTGTCTAGAATTCCAGTCAGCCGACCAGGAGATTGACTTGGTTCCTGTGGAGCAGTTTTACATTGAGGCCCCTGAGTCCATCAGTCGTCCAGTGAGAGCACTAATTTTATTGTTGCTTAGTTCACTTGTAAAGAGTATCAATTTTAAGTAGTAAGAACCCTTTTCATCTTTCTTTTTCCTTATTTTACATGATCATTGTATATAGTCTGCATTTCTCTTTCTCTCTCTCTCTCTCTCTTCTTTCTTTTTAGAATATCTGTTCATGATTTGAAATGCCACCATATTTATTTTCACTGATATTTTTAAAGCAGAAGGTCTAGTATATTCTACATTCCTGTTAAGTGAGATAGATGTTGCTCTCTTTTTATATACAGACAGAGACTGTGGACAAGCCTCATGAGCAAAGGCTAGCACGGTTGCAGTGGGAACTGGAGCAGCGGCGTGGCCAGACACAGCTCTTTGATAAGCTGACTCAAGAGAAGGAGTCTGTTGCTGACATGATAAGTGAACAGGAACGGAAATTGGCATCTTTAGCACCCAGAATTAACAGTATTTTGGAAGTGAGTTCTGTTTTTTGCTGAATGTTTTGCTTCTATACTTGCCTGTATCCCATTTAGAATTTGTGATTTTTAAATCAATTAGAGATGTGTTTAATTTCAAAACAAATACTTGACATTTATCTCTTCCGTCCCTCCCTCTACCACACATAGTGGTTTTTACCCTGTTAGCCAAGGATCATAATGACTTCATTATCCTTTCCAAGTAAACATGAACACAATCAGATTGTATATTGCAGACTATGAAATATTATAATATATGCATTAACCCATTTCTGCCGGGCCATGCCTTGCGGTGTCATAACAAACCGCTCAATCTGCGGAGTGTGACTGTACACCGCAGCGACACACCAAAGCACTACGAGCCAGGCGTTTGGCTTGATCTAGTGCACTCCCGCACTCAAAGTCGGATTGTTACCATTAATCTCCAGAGCGTAGAGTTTTTTATTGATTTTCTTCACCAGGTGAAAAGGGCTTAACTAGTGTTAATACATACACTATATGGTAGTAGTTGTTTTTAATTGGACAGTTGAAATAAAGAGTATGGATATGTGCAGACTCTCAGCAGCAATTTGGAAAGGTTAACCCATTGCCGCCAGGAAAAATAAATAAAAAATGGAGAAAATGCTGTGCTCTTTTTTATAGTTTTTGTGAAATGTCTCTACACATAGATGGCTCAGTCTTACCTGATTTGACCTTTCCTTGAATTGGTGGGAAAATGTATTTTTTACTAGTGCTATGAATATCAATGGTGTTATTTTTATTATAAACATTATAATTATAATGTTATAAATATTAGTAATAGGAAAATAAGATAACGTAAAATATTTTCAAAAATTAAAGAAAATGGCAGTACTCGTAATTGGCTCATTGGTGACTTAGTACATGTGTAGCCATCTATGTGTAAAAGCAATTAAACAAGTAAACTCACAGTGTATGACACCATTATTTGGCATCTCATCAATTATGAACCCCTAAAGGATGTGCATCCTAAAGAAAGGATCAAGTGAGGACATGAGGCAGATTTTACATAATTTGTACTGGTGCCTAAAAGTGGCTGTAATGATTTTAGGTCCTGTAATATAGATTTTGGTATACAGATTCCAAGAATACAAATAATTATTTTGTGTGAACTGAATTAGAGCTGACAGAATGTTTATTGAGCTTTTACAGATGGAAGAATTGAGTCTAATCACCCTTTATGAGCTGTGTTCACTCATAGTGTCATTCCCATCACTCCAGCCTTCAGCCAAAATTCTCTTGACAACTTACTCCCATCACCTGGGGCCTCAGCCAAATTTTTTCATAGTGGTATATTCACATCACACATCCCTCAACCAGTTTTTTCATGATGTGAGGATCACATCACCAGGAGTCAGGAGGTTTAAATCAATGTGCTCCTGCAATAAGACGTATTGAGATTAATTTGCTCTTTCAAGGAAGACATCTTGCTCCATTAAGTATAATTTTTGAAGGACTTTTTGTCCAACATGATTTTTTATATTGCCATGAGTTATTTACTTGTACATTTCTTTTAGGATGGTTTTCTGTGAAGAAAATTTAAAGATTAAACTTGCTCTTTTGGGGTAAGTTGTAGGCAAAAGTGGTTACCTACCAGGCAGGTAAAGAAGCAGTATGGAAATGAAAATAGAGATAGGTTTTTCCAAAATCCTAAGTCATGCATATTAATCCCTTGGTGACAGGTTCAGAAAACTAACAAAAAATCTACGCTGTGGCCATCAACTTTGAGTGTGGGAGTTTGGTACATCAAGCCGAATCACTGGCTCGCCACACTTTGGCGCACCGCACACAACATTTCGAGTGATTTGTTTTCACGCCTATGGATGTGACCTGTCGGGAAGGGGTTAATAATTTAACTCCATGGATCCGGGTGACGTAACCATCAAGTTATGAAAAAATCTTGGTTGAGGGGCAGGTGACGTGATCATGCCATCACAGGAAAATCTGGCTGTAGGCCAGGTAACTCATACCTACCATCATAAGTGATTCAGCTGAAGGCTGGGTTGATGGAAAAGACTCGCCATGAGTGCACAAATCTATTAGGAGGTTTTTTTTTTACTCATTTGGCGATTTTTTCATTATTCTCATCAGTGTAAGAGTGTGGAATGTAATGTCCATGAGAGGTGACTCGAAGAGCGCTGGTTCCATGGAGGATAGCACTTCCATGCTCCACATAGTCTTTTTGGCGCCATTAGCAGCAGTGCTGGTTGTATTGCAGAAAACTTAATATTACATAAAAATGAAAAGAATTACATAAATAGCATAGTGTTACATAGTTTTATGTAGTTGTAGACTACCTAGAGAGACAATTCGAGTCTATGAAAAGAAAAAAGTTTATTACCATCTGGATATTGCAAATCAAATGGTAAATGTTAACATTGGAAAATGGCCAAAAAACTCAAACACTTATGCATAATAAGAGTAATTAGGTGGCATAGAGTCTTGTCATGGCACATAGGAGTTTGTATGCACCCAGCCTACAAGCAGCCCAATGGTTAATTAGAGTCAGATTGATGGTAAGATAAACAGTAATGTATCAGTAAACAAATTATATGCTAAGATTAATGTTGTAATATTGCTCTACTTTCCACAGGCAACTCGACCACTTCAAGAGGCTCTTGATTTGCCTTTGGATGCCAAGAGGGAACAGCAGAGAATAGTGCAGTTACTTCCAAGTCCCTTATACACACTTTGGGTGCAGGTAAGTGTAGGGAGAATTTTTTAAGCTCTGGTTGAAACTTAGAATTCATTTGGAGTTTATTCCTATTCAAGTTTTCAGCTTTATAAGTAAGGTATTTCTCTAAAGTATTACAGGGTAGGTAAAGTGTAAATACTCAGTCTAGGTAAGAACTCACTTTTGAAGTTTACAAAGTTATGCATCATTTGCAAAGTTAGTATTACATTTGATACTGTTAGAAAGCTTGATATGTGCACTGAAAAATTTAGTGAATGAACAGGATATCTGAAGTATCTGTCCAGAGTCTTATGCCAAATATTAATTGACAAAACCTTCAACAGGCATCAGCCTATGGGGAAGCCTTTGACCCAAACATCAAGGTGGAAGTGAATGGGGACGTAGAAGCTGCCAAGAAACTTATTACAAAGGAGGAGGATGCAAGAACAGAAAACTTTAGTGACTCAGAGAATGACCAGGACCAGCAGGAAGTGAGGATGATGTATATGTTTGTTGAGACTGTATTGAAAGGGAATGAACAGATTCAATGCAGAGTTTGAATATACCATTATCATATTCTTAACATATTACCAAAGAATTGTGTACAAATATATATTTAGCCCAAAAGCTTTTGGAATATATATAAATATTTACCTTTATTTTGTTGTTAAATCTTTTTATCAAGATAAACGATAAGCATTATGAAATAGAGGATTTGATCATAATTGACAGCAGTAAGGAGTTTTAATCATCATATGGTATGAAATATTTATGGAATCCATTTTTGTTTTAAATCAGCTTGACCCTGTTTCTGCATTTAGTTTGGATCCAGTTAATATGCTGTTTAACCCCTTCCTGATGGGTGACGCCGCTAGGCGTGAAAACAAACCGCTCGAAAAGTGGAGTGCGGCTGTAAGCCGTGGCGGAGAGCCAGTGATTCGGGCTGATGTACCAAACTCACGCTCTCAAAGGCAGCGCGCTGCCATTGTTTGCCAGAGCATAGTTTTTTTTTGTTTTTTATTTCTTTCTTTTCTTTTCTTTTCTTTTCTTTCTTTTTTTTCTTTTTTTCTTTTCTTTCTTTTTTCTTTTTTCTTTTTTTTTTTTTTCTTTTTTTTTCTTTTTTCTTTTTTCTTTTTTCTTTTTTTTCCGTCACCATTGGGTTAAGGGTACCATCCCTAGTGGGGGGAGAACTAGTTAGCCTGTGATATACGTACACAAATGAGGAAACTACCAAATGACTGTTAGAGCCCAACTCAGGTTATTTCTTGGGAGGAGCATGGGCATAAGCACCAAGAGAGGAACTATGTACACAGCAGGTACACTTGTGTGACTGTTGGTCATTGCAGTCTTGCATAAGGCATTTGCTAATAACATTTCACATATATATTTATTTTAATTTCATATTGGTTGTTTCCATTGTGAAGAGCACTTCAATACCAAGGGCATCCAGAAGGTGGATTTTTGAACTTTGGAAATAATAACAAAATATCATTTATTTTATGCTGAATATAATAGTGTTCTTCTATAACAAAATTGAACCAGTATGTTGTATGCATGCTAGAATTTTATGAATATCAACATTTTGTACTGATATTGCCATCCACTGTTCATCATTTCTTCACAATTGAATAATAAAAAGAAAATTGGTTTCTTTGATTTGATGCATTTATTAAATGTTTCAAACAGGAATAGCTATTTTCAGTGTAAGAAAGAGAGCGAGAAAGAGAGAGATTTCCAAAATATGGTCCCAAACCAAAACAATAACTCTGGTTAACTTGGTATTAATCTCATCGCAAAATACACTAGATGAGCTGTTTTTTATATATGTATAGCATCATGAGAGTTAGCAATAAAATACTAGAAATAGCAGTCTCAAATTCCAGTGTTCTCTATTCTTTGTTTACTTAACCCAATGGCGCCGAGTGTACAAAACAAAACAAAAAAACTCTACGCTCTGGCAAACAAAGGCGGCGTGCCGACTTTGAACGCATGAGTAGGGTACATCAGCCCGAATCACTGGTTCACCGCGCTTTGGCGCACCGCCACGGCGTACAGCTACACGCCAGCTTTCGAGCGGTTTGTTTTCACGCCGATCAGCGTCACCCGGCGTTAACCCATTGGCGCCAGGTGTACAAAACAAAAAAAACTCTACGCTTAAGCAAACAAAGGCGGCACGCCGACTTTGAGCGCGTGAGTAGGGGACATCAGTCCGAATCACTGGCTCGCCGCGCTTAGGCGTGCCACCGCAGCGTTTGGCTGCACGCCAGCTTTCGAGCGGTTTGTTTGCACGCCGATCGGCATCACCCGGCACCAAGGAGTTAAGGGGTTAACCCAATGCCGCCGGGGAAAATGAATAAAAGATGGTGAAAATGCTGTGCTCATTTTTAACATTCTTTGTAAAATGTCTCTGCACATAGATGGCTCTGCTAGTGCTTATCCACAAAGGAGTCAATTAGTAGACCTTGTGACCTTATCTGATTTAAATTGGCGAGAAAAATGTATTTTTCACTAGTCTAATGAAAAAAAAAAAATTATTTTCATTATGAAGATTATAATTACTGTAATGTTATAAACATTAGTAACAGCAAAATAAGATCATTTAAAATATTTTCGTAAATCAAAGAAAAGGGTAGAAGAGTAAGACAGGCAGTACTCGTAATTGGCTCATTGGTGGCTTAGTAAAAGTGTAGCCATCTGTGTGTAAAAACAATTAACAAGTATCTCAGTGGGTATGGCACGTATGTACGCGTCATACCCATCGGCATTGGGTTAAGCTGACATACCACCCAGTGGTTGTTATTTTCCTGTCCCCGAAATCATATGGTTGCTTTTGCGAGCAATTTGGAATGCGCAGGGCAAGTTGGTGTCTGATTTTTTAAATTATGAAAAAAAGATAATAATAAATAAATTAATAAATAAAATATTTATTACATAAAACAGAAAGAGTGACCTAAATATAACTCACAATGGCTGAGAGTCCCCCAAAAAGCAATTGGACCTTGAGGTGGCCTTTGCTGAGTTGTTCTAGCTTATGAGTACTTTTGGGTAGTTCAGGGGAATAATACAAATTGTGGATGGTACAACAGATTATTTTTAACCCAAATAGCACGGGTGGCAAGACTGCAATCCCATGCCCACTGTAATAAAAGTTCATCTATTGTCTTTACACATAAATGGCTCTACAAGTGCTTAGTTACCAAGGAGTCAGCTATTAGTCTTACCTGTTTACCCTTTTACTTGATATTTTGAAAGCTTTGTTTCTCTCATTTTATTGTCTTTGATGTTATTAATATTTTGATGATAATTTGATAATCATAGTAACATTAAGAATGATAACAATATCAATATTAATCAATATTAATAGTATTAGAAAAAAAAAAAACATTTTCCCATAAATTCAAGGAATGGGGAAATCAGGTGTAGTCACAAGGGCCAACTGGTAGACTCCTTAGTGGCTGAGGACACATTATGCAGGAAGTTCCACAACATGTAGTGGACTCCCGCTCCCAGCTGCAGGATGGTCCCAATAGCAGGACAGTTGCCAGAAATTACCAGAGTCTATGACACCGAGAGGTTTCTATTACCGTCACTGATGGATAAAAGAAATAACTAATTTTCTTGCAATATTAGTATTAGCAGAGTCCAAGCGAAAGTAAATAGCTGTGAACATGGGTATTTTTTTTGCAAAAATATATTTTATTTCTACATGACTTCATATACCCAATAATATATTCCTTCATAGCTTTTGATTTTGATTTTTCTTGACAAGAGCAGTTTGTAGACTCAGCCAACCTACCTTTTCAGCAGTATTTTTTATGTATTGAAATTGAATTGAATATCTGAGTATGGTTTCAAGATTCAAACCCCAAAGGGTCACATGATGCATTGACTGTATGAGGTGAAAGGTTTAGCAGTAAGTGCTCTGAATCCCTGACATTCATCCATTTTTCTTGCCCAGGAGAACTTGTCGCGGAAGAAGCGGACTCGTAAATCACAGAAGATGGACACAGATGATGTAGATGATGGAGTCAAACAGATTTTGGCATTACACCCACTGTCTGTAAAAATTTGTGTCAACACCAAAGGTATACCTCAAAGAGAATATATTCGTGTCATCTTTTTAGAAAATTATTGACTGATTCAAACATCAATAGATATTGTGAAGGTGCATGGTTACTGATTATTTCTGAGCATACATATTTTGCAGATGGCAACAGTGTGGTCATCACTTTTTATCATATGCAAGTTCTGCGCATAGTAACAGTCAAGTGCTCTGTTCACCTACAAGAGAAGAACAAGTCAGTGCTATCGTGAGTAGCATTTCTTTTTACTTTTCATTAGGAATATGTAAATATGCATTTGAGGGAGTTGTGAAGTTTTTCTGTCTGAACAGAGTATAAGGAAAGCTTGTAATGTTATTTTCACAGAGATGTGATTAGTGGCGACACCCTCCTGAATTGCCTGTTTCCGAAGGATGATGGGGAGGAATCCCCAAACCCTGCCAACTTCTTCCAGCTTGTGCGCCTCCAGATCCAGCTAAAAGACCACCTGGCATCCACAGGACGACCTTACAAGTGGGCACAAAATCTGTCTGGCTTGTCATTCTCTACAAGTGAGCAGACCAACACAGATGATGGACAAGACAAGGTGATGCAATTATGAATAGACTCAGATACTTACAAGCCATTCAGGTCCATCTCATTTGTGTTGATTGTGAGCTTTCATTGATGAAAATTAAATAATTAGTGTGATCATTAACCCCATACTGACAGACCACACACTCGATCTATGGAGTGTGGCTGTATGTTGTGGTGATGTGCCAAAGCATTACGAGCCGGGGGTTCAGCTTGATTTAGCAAACTCCCACTCTCAGAGTTGGCTCGTCACCGTTAATCTCTAGAGCGTAGATTTTTTTTTTTTCCATCCATCCATCCATCAGTAAGGGTTTGATTATGGGTTCTCTGTTATCAAAGTTGGATTTAAAGAGAAACATTCTTAGAAGATCTAGTAGACTGATTATGGTAGCATACTACTTACAAGAATTACTAGTACACAGAATATATAGATACTGATTTCTAATTTAAATGTAATAAAAAAATTATTTATAGCACAGTAAACCTGACAAGAATAATATCAAAACATTCCACTATCTTGCTCAGTGGAAGGGCAGGCAGAAATTGTAATGCATTTTACCCTTTTCCTGACTTTTAATATGGATTTTAGGATGTAATTGGCAGTTATAGTAAGAATTTCAGTTCTTTGCAACACATTGAGATGTGTCAGCAACTCATACTCACCATGCTTTTTGTATATTCATTCTAGGCTGGAGGCTCAACAGTGACTACAATCCCACCAGTAGAAAATGAAGTAGTTATTTGGCAAGATAGTGC